GAACGTCAGCCTTCCTGCTCCTCTGGTGCTGCTTGGCCTGCTGTGTTTATCCAGCTCTACACCTTGTTATCCCAAGGATAATGACATAGTTTTGTGGTGTTAGGACTCAGAAAGGAGTTTTAGGAGTTGCTTGATGCACATGAGCAAATGTGGAGCTCAGGGAAGTCCCCATGCATAGTACTGGCTTTGTGAAGCTAGCTACGGTGAAAAGCTAGAGGTGTTCCTTTGCGTAATTGCTGGAAGTGCAGTGCCAGAATCCAGTGGAGTGTAGACATTGGAAAGGCTGGAGTTTGATCAATCATTGAGGGAGTCTGTGGCAAAATGGATGTTCAGGTGGCCTCAAAGGTAGGTCATTTAAGTGAAGACTTTCAATCCCTTGTGAAATTTTAATGAGGTTTGATGACCCACTGCATCACTAAAGTCTGATGGGGATTGATACTAAATCCATGGGATATGCTTTGATACGCACTGTGAGGTGTTCGATTATACTTTGTTATCTGTAATTGCCTCATGTCAATTCTGGATGTTAGACTATGTGATACATATATATATAATATATATAAAAATCTACGATATATATAGTGTAGATTGTACAACTGTTCTAACTTTGTATGGCAGAGTTAATTTCCATTTGTTAAAAAATCTTGAGATGTTCTCTTATGAGATCCCTGATCTCGCTTGGTTTACTCAAAGCAAACGGGTCACTGGATCTTCGCCTAGTAAAATAAATTTGGCAGTCTCATATGGCATATTTAAAACTTCTGTTGTCAGCTAATCTATTGAACCTGATAAGATGGAATTCTGTAAAACACTGCGAGAGCACAGGCTTTATTAATTGAGGTATTGAATACAAGAACAAGGAGGTTATGATGGTGCTGTAGAGACATTATTTAGACCACAGCTAGAATACTGTTTGCAGTACTGGTCACCACACTATAGGAAGGATGCGTTTGCACTGGAAGGGTTGCAGTGGAGATTCATCAGGATGTTGCCTGGGCTGCAGTGATTCAGCTCTTAGGAGATAGATAGGGGTTGTTTCTTTTGAGCAGAGAAGGCTGTAGGGGACTTGATTGAGGTGTACAAAGTTCTGAGGGTCATAGATAGGGTAGATAGAGAGAAATGTTTCACCTTCGTAGAGAAGTCAGTAACCAGGGGGCATAGATTTAAGGTGAGTAGGAGGTTTAGAGAGGATTAAAGGAAACGTTTTCACCTGGAGGGTGGTGGGTATCTGGATCTCATTGCCTGAAAGGGTGGTAAAGGTGGGAACCATTACAATATTTAAGAAGTATTTTGATGAACACTTGAAATGCCACTGTGTACAAAGCTACAGGCCAAATGCTGGAAAATGAGGTTAGTATAGCTTGATAGCGAGTGCAAATACAATGGATTGAAGGGCCTTTTTCTATGCTTCAATTCACTGTGATTCTATAACTCTAGCTGGATGGATTCTTGTCAGGCAGGTGGACCAAAGGGCGGTGGGCTTTGATGCCAGACCAACTTGCTGAGAGGTGGGGACACTACCACAACAGCACAATGTGCACGTAGGTGACCAAAGGAGTAGGATTAACTTTGGATGGCCCAAGCAAGATGGCCAGCAGAGTGACAATGGATAGAGTGGTCTTTATCTACAGGAAAGTTCTCTGGTGATTCTGTCACTCTAGGTGAACAGGCAGGAGAATCAGAGATTATCACAGCTAGATGGGAATGTGATGACCCCACTACCAAGGATATATTTCCCTCTCCACCCTTATCTGCCT